TATTAAAGACATCGGGTTTTATGTCTCCACTCGGCAGATTCTGTATGAACAATTACAATAACCATTAGTAAGTAAAGCAAGCAGCAAGAACCAATGTTATATGTCTCAATGTTTTCATTTTGTATTTATAACATATTGCAGGGCAAGTCCAAATTTAAGGGCAGACAGTTTCAGACAGTACAGAGGAGCATACTGCTGAATATTTTTTATTTCCATGAATGTCTTTAAACCTGAGAAGAAGCTGCCATTCTAAACCATCATTTTAAATGATCAGGAGGAAAAAGAAAAGTCCAGGTGCAGTATTATTCAGGCAGTGCATCTCTCATTGTTGTGTCAGTTTTACATTACCTGATAGGTTATTTAGTTGTGCATGTTTAAACTTTGGTAAATACATTTCTATTGCTTCCCACCAAGTTGTGTTGTCGTTGTTGTATTTATAAAATGTTTAATTGCAGAGCCCTCACATGTTGTGCGATTTCAAATTACATGGAATTAGAGTTCAGACAATTACAAAAAAATCAAGAGTAGAAGATTTAAGACAATGCGGAGGAGGTATTGAGTATAGTGTATGCTTAAAAAATGCTTAAAGAAGATGTAGGACATGGAAAAAATCACAGAAGAGTTTACTTTAGATAGGCCACAAATGCCTCTGCTAAACCAAGAGCAGGAAAGGTTTGACAGTTCCAAAAAAACCAAGAGCAGATGAGGTCAAACCGTGTAACGTGAGTGTGGTCTTTGATAAAAAATCACCTTTTCATAACATATATTAGTCATCATCATGCCGTCTATACATAAAATCAGAGGGCTCATAACTTGTTCAATTTATAGTATTTGCTTAAGAAAAATTCAGCCTATGACAAATCAAGAAACATAAAGTCAGATGTCATTGTTCTGTCCATCTATTCGAGACCAATTATGAGACAGTGCAGGTTTCTATTCTGTCCATCTTTTCCTTTAAAGAACTACGGGGTTTAAAATAGTTCAATAAATCACGACGATGAATACCTCAACATGTGTCAAAGAATTTTAATCTGGTTTTAAAATAGGTGTAAGATGAGCTGTTATAATCACATATTTATCCATACCTCAGAATATTTCAACATCTCCGAACATGATTTATGGAGCAGCAAGCATGCAACGCTTTCAAGTACTACGAAAGTAGCACTGTCCGTGGTGTCAACAACTCTTGTCTTGATTTGATACCTGAATCATAATTGTTTTTCAGGAGTCAATTAATAAAAAATTGTTGACATAAAGCATTAAGCATTAGAAATTAGTAAAAACCAAACCTTGGGATCAGATTCATCACTCGTCTCTTACACTCATTACAATAGTAGGATCCACCGCGTGGGACCACTTCGGACCCACACCTACACACTGTTATAAACCAATCAGAATCAACATCCTTGATTGTACCGTATGCTGCATATTCACCGTCCTACAGATCAAAACACACTTAAGTCACTACATTACCCGTAAAGTCAGGCGTGCGTGTTTAGTGTAATATACTCATCTAACCTCAATACAATCTATCAATGTCTCTATTGTTGCAGCCTTAGTAAGCTTAAGAAAGTCCTCATCCACTGAATAAAGTAGCCCATGATTCATTGAGGTATTTTTTATATCATGAGGCGCAACACCTTCTAAATATTGAGTCAGGATTGTTGCATCATGACACACTTTTGATACCATGAAAGATTGTTCTAGACGTCCTCTGAACATCGACTTGACTTCGACCTTAAATAGGAAACTCTTACCCATCAAAAAATCAGCAAACTCTTTTGGACTTTCAGTACTTCCATCCTTCAATTGGTGTAAAATAAGAGTCATTAACTGTTCAAGGATTAAATAACTGAAATACGTAAAATATATTAAACAAAGTACACATACACTATCTGTCTTTTCCAGCAAAAGGGAGCATGACGTATTTAAAATCGAAGCGGCTTCATGGTCAAATAACACAAAGATAGCTGAACCGGAATCATCTCTAATAGATAGCTTGATTAGATATCTGAATAAAAATCACATTTAGTACACTATGCAGCAGAAAATAAAAGTGAATGTCGGGAAAGTAAGAGTATGATAAACTTAACCTTGGGGTGACATTCATAACACGACACCCACAATACATGCAATAGTACATGGTACCATCAGCTCTCACAGCCCTATTACACTTGCAAGCCAAATAAAACCAATCCCCAGTATTGTTCACAGAAACAACAGTGGCGTACACTATATAGGTACCATCCTGGTAGAATAGAAATCATACATTAGCGTATGGGCAAAATCACCACAATAATAAACATTTAACGTTGGAGGCTGTTATATTTAAAAACATATCATCAATACCTCACTACCATCCTTCAGCAAAGAGATTGTCGTCATTCGTGTGGCATCCAAAAATTCATTTTGCTGCACAACTGTCACGTCATCACAGGGCAACTCAAGAGGTCGACGGTTCGTTGGCACACCAACAATCCTTAAGCAAATGAGACATTTGTGCATAGTTAGCGAGTGAAAAACAGACACATATTTACGGTAGTTGGTAAAAGTCTCAAGGTCTGAATTTTTATACCTTTGTCTGAATGCAACAACCTCTTCTATTTCAGGATTTAACAGGAGACGCGTTCCGTACATGACATTCTGCAAATTTATATTTC